TTTTTTTAAAAAATCCTCTCATCAACAGGAAAATGAAGATGCTGTATGGTGGTAAGAAAGGAATTGAGGAACATAGTGAGAGCAACTGCCTGAGAGCAAATACAATAAAGATTTCAATAGAGACCATAGTGTCTTTCAGTTCCATAAGGAAAGACTGTCAGGTTTCTCTGAGCAGAACTCAGCAAGACCTCCTGACTTTGCATAGTATGACTTAACTCTTAGGTAAGACTTGGCAGAAGTGCCACAGACACAGCTCAGCTAGATAAGAATCTTTACTGCAAACAAGAACGAATCCAAATGAAACAATCAGTTCCCTACTCCATTTTATCTCTCTCTCTCTCTCTCTCTCTCTTTTTTTTTTTTGGTCCCTTTGAGTCAGTTTTGACTCCTGGCAACTGCCTGGACAAGGCCCTGCAGTTTTCTTGGCAAGGTTTTTTCAGAAGTGGTTTGCCACTGCCTGCTTTCTAGGGCTGAGAAAGAATGATTGGTCCAAAGTCACCCAGCTGATTTCACGTCTAAGGCCGAACTAGAACTCACAGTCTCCCAGTTAGAAACCACTACTACCTAATGCCTTAACCACTACACCAAACTGGCTTTCTTTTAAAATTACATTTGTTTAAATCCTTAGCTTTTTCTTCCCATTCTTCCCATGAAGCCAAGTAGTTATTAAGTGTTTCCATAACTACCATCTCTAGCCTGATATCCTCTCCTCTGTGTAGGTTGTTCTGCACAGCCGCCAAAACTGAAATGTGTGATACACAGAGAATATGGCTAACATGTATTAGGTCTTTTCTTACTAAAAGTTTATGCAGCAATTAATCTATGGCCTGATTTGTAGGTGGTATCTTTCAACATATCCTGCTAAATATCAAATTCCAGAAGGGAATGGGGAGGGGAAGAGAGACATATGCTTCTACTAGACTAACAATGACAGTGAAGTCAGTCCATACAGACAGACTGAGGGCCAAATTATTTAGTAAAGTAGAGCCAGTTAATAAGATTAAGTAAAATAAAACCTATATTAGAAACAAGCTCGGTTCATTGAAAATTGATGATAACCAGTAATGGCTTGGTTTAATTCAGACCAAAGTTTGGATCTGAATATACTCAATATAGGTTTAAGATCAGACATACTCACCACACAAGGAAATGACCTTGATTTGTTTTATTGTTTTATTTTACCTGCACAAGTTTCATTTGATTCATCTTCATTGTTACCACAATCATTTGCTCCATCACAAAGCCATCTCTTAGGGATGCAACGGTTATTACGACACTTAAACTGATTGTCAGGACAACTATGATTAACTGAAAGACATAATATTACCTTTTAAATCCAGTAAGAACCATTATATTCCACTATAAAATATCTTATAATAAATTATATTCACTGAAAAAAGAGACATTAAGCATTTAGCATTTTCATTTTTTTTTTCTAAATCTTAGATCAAGCTATGAAACCAGGAAAAAAAAAACTAAATATGAAGAGACCACAAAGCAAATAAAATAAAGGACACAGGTTTTAAGTTAATATGGAGTTAAAATACAAATGATTAAGTACACAAAGGGGTTAATTATACTTAGCCTTGTGTTGAATGGTGCCCATATTGATCCTCTATGAATGATTTATATTTTTTATCTCTTTCTCTGGTCATGCTAATCTAACCTTTCATTAATGCTTTCATTCCTGATTTAAATGCTTTACTTTCTTTCAATCAAAAGCTTTCCCTAATTTGTATACAGTTGAGATAGATAGATAGATAGATAGATAGATAGATAGATAGATAGATAGATAGATAGATAGATAGGATGGATGGATGGATGGATGGATGGATGGATGGATGGATGGATGGATGGATGATAAACATAAAAGTAACTAAACTCACAACTTAGATTCTGTAGCTTTTGTATTCTATAACCATTAACCAGACTAACATTTGTAGAAATCATGGGCTTAATTTATTACAGCAGCACTGCTTCAGGTAAAGTAATATGCACATTTTAAAGGAGTGCCTTTATAAGATGAATTTATAGACTTGCAGAATTTCTTTGTGCTTAGCATAAACCAGAGTATGAAAAAGAATCAAGGTTAAAGTCTGGTGTTCTTTAATGAGGATTAGATAATGGCACTGAGGACAAAGTCAAAACTCAAGCATTATTCCCTAGTGGGAGATTATGACTGGTCATATAGTCAGCCAGCTTTTTACTTTCAACAGGGGAAAAATAGTGAAAACTGAAGGAATCAAAATCCCCTATGGAAATAACATCAAGAGTCTGGATGAAGAAGATTGCTACAAATACCTGGGCATCCTTCAAGCTGTCAACATCAAGCACATTGAAGTCAAGAAGAAGGTTAGTAGTCAAAATATCATGAAAGTGAAGAAGATCTTAAAGTCCAAACTCAGTGGAGGAAATACCATCAAGGCAATTAACACATGGGCAATGCAGTCATTAGACACACAGCTTCAGTAGTGGACTGGACTCAAACAGATCTAGAAGCCCTGGATAGGATGACCAGAAAAATAATGACAGTGAATCATGCCCTTCATTCACACAGTGACATTGCCAGACTCTACTTACCAAAGAGCATTAGTGGGTGTGGAATGTTGCAAATATACCAGACAGTTGAAGAAGAAAAAGGGTTGTTTGAAGAATATCTGAAGGACAGTGAGGAAGATGCACTGAAGCTAGTAAACCATGAAGGCTTACTGAATACTGAAAACACCAAACTGTCCTACAACAAAGACCAAATGAAGAATAGAAAAGAGATGTGGCAAGACAAAGTATTACATGACTAGTGCGAGAGAAAGAAAGAAAGAAAGAAAGAAAGAAAGAAAGAAAGAAAGAAAGAAAGAAAGAAAGAAAGAAAGAA